CCAGTTTCTCTCCTGGCCTTTGCCCTGGGCGCGTGTCTTCCCAGAACCACTGTCTTAGCGTCTCCCAGCTGGTTAAAGAGCCAGCTTGTGCCCTTCCAGTTCTCACGTTTGAGCTAAGTGACCCCTCCCTACACTCCTCCGAGCCCCCGGCTGAGGGAACAGCCCCACTTCCTCCCGCCCCGCTAGGTCACGTTCACTCAGCCCCCGTTCCTCCTCCGTCACCAGGACCCGAAGTGCTCCCTTGTCCTCTGTCAGTCATTCCCCGCATTTATTTGTGACTCAAGCACATAGGTGGCATGCATGTTTCCTTTCTCTCTCCTGTCACTCTGTTCCCAGCATCTGCCAGAGCGCCTTGCACACAGCAGGTGCTCAGGTGTGCAGAGTGAAGGTGGGGCGAGCTGCTGCCCATGTTCAGGCTGGAGACGAGTGAAGAGCTGGGCTGCGGGCCAGACATCCGCAGGTGACACCCGCAGCTCCCCCTCCTCCTCCCTCTCCTCTCCTCTCCTCTCCTCAGCCCTTGCTGACTTGCCTCCTTCCCTCCCCCTGATCCTCCCAGACCCTCGTCCATCCCTGGAGTCGAGAGGGATCCTGTCTGTACTCACGTGTGCCTCCTCCCAGGTGTGCGCCAAGCACCCAGAAATCTCCTGCTGGGCAGACTTGTGCCTTCCGGTCACCATGTGCGCTCTGCTCGCACAGGAAGGAGGAAAGTGTCTGAACCAGGTGAGACCAGAGATGCCTGCCCGGAGCCCACACAGCTGAACAAGGCCCCGGGGAATGTGTGCCTCCAACCTAGAGGCTGCCTGCAGGGGGCAGTCCTGCTCACTGTGGTCTGACTGTCTGAGGAGGGAAGACCCCTCCAGCTGCCCCACCTGAACCCGCAGGTCACTGAGGTACATGATGAGGTCGGGGAGGGGCCAGGACGACGGTCACCTGCCGCCATCAGGACGCGGCACAGACGCCATCATCACAGCTCAAGTAGAGGAGCCTGAGATGCAGACCCTCCAGGGACACACAGATCCGACACCGCCGAGGATCCCTAAGTGCGGACCCAGGACAGGCCTCGGACGACAGGTGTGAGTCCCGCAGCCACACCCAGCAGAGCGGTGGCCAACAGTCATTCTGCATTTCTTCTCTTTCCCCTCTTTTTTGTCAAGGAAACTAATACGCTCAACATAAAAATATAGCTAACGTTTTAAACTGTTTCTTCTTTTCATTTTGCTGTTGTTGTCGTTGTTTGCTGAGTGCTGCTAAGGCTAAGGTTGGACTTGCTGGCTCTTTGCTTTGGTAAAGTCATTCCCCAGGTGAGAAAATTAGTCTCTCACATCTAATAGGAAATTCACAGGGAAGAGAATTCATTAGCACGGTTGGGTCAAATGTCTACCATTTTTACAGTCAACTCAGATCAGAGGAGAGAGTCTTGTGAGGGTCACATGGTTTGGCCTTTGAGGTGGTGTGTCTACACCCACCACCCAGCCCATGGCAAGTTGTATGTCTGTGACAAAGCCCAGCTATTGTCATCCTGAGACCATTACCAGGTGACAACCACAGTGAGAACCCGTCTTTTCTGAGGAGGGAAACTTCATGAGTCAATGAAACTCCCTGTGGATGAAAACCCTACCTCCATACAAGTGGTCCGGAGCCATCAGAAGGCATGGCTTACAACAGACACATGAAATGATGATCAGCATCCCTCCTCATCAGGGAAATACAAATCAAAACCACATTGAGATACTACCTCACACTGGTCAGAGTGACTAGAATGAACAAATCAGGAGACTCTAGATGCTGGCGAGGATGTGGAGAAATGGGCACCCTCCTACACTGTTGCTGGGAATGTAAACTGGTGCAGCCCCTCTGGAAAACAGTGTAGAGGTTCCTCAAAAAATTAACAAAAGAACTCCCCTATGACCCAGCACTAGCACTGCTAGGAACTTACCCGAGGGATACAGGAGTGCTGATGCATAGGAACACATGGACCCCAATGTTCATAGCAGCACTCTCCACAATAGCCAAATCATGGAAAGAGCCCAAGTGTCCATCAACGGACGAATGGATCAAGAAAATGTGGTTTATCTATAAGATGGAATACTACATGGCAATGAGAAAGAATGAAATCTGACCATGTGTAGCAACATGGATGGACCTTGAGGTTGTTATGCTGAGCGAAATAAGTCAGGCAGAGAAGGACAGATACCATATGTTTGCACGTATAGGTGGATTAGGAGGAACTTAACGGAGGACCATGGGAGAGAAGAAGGGGAAAAATAGTTGGGGAGGGGGAGGGAGGCAAACCATGAGTGACTCTTAAATGCTGAGAACAAACTGAGGGCTAATGGGGGGGAGTGGAAGGGGGGAGATGGGCATGGAGGAGGGCACTTGTGGGAATGAGCACTGGGTGTTATATGGAAACCAACTTGACAGTAAACTATTTAAGAACAAAAATAAACAAATAAGAAAAAGAGTGGCAAAGGAAAAAAAAAGAAGGCGTGGCTTAGCGTCAGAGGGTGTTTAATGCCCACACAGGATGGACGGTCCCTGAATCAACAAACATGTCAGGCATCCTCTGCTAAGCCTGAGCAGAACTGGGGTGTACGGCTGATGACTCCCGCCCCAACCCCAGCATCAGAACTGATGAATACTGTGCATGTGTACAGAGGAGCCCTGGGACAAGGAGGTCTGGGGGTCATGCCAGGGTCCTAATGATGAGAGAAGCCAGACAGACAGCGGTGAGATTTCTGACTCTGTCCATCCCTCACGGATGGCTTTGAGTTGAAAGGCTTCAGAGGCCACTGCTCCGAAACACATCATTTGACATAGGATTATTTTGAGCTGAAAGCAGTTTCTGAGAAGCAGAGACAAGAAAAACTCCCTGCCCTGTTAGGGAGGGCAGGTGGAAGGCTTGTCACAAGAGGCCACGTTAGACAGCAGCCCTGAGGAATCAACATAACAATCTTTACTAGGCAGCCCTTCCATTCCTTTCCCATATACTTACCTTCCCATATTTTGCCATCTATGAAGGTATAAACCCCTTTTCTTTTATTTTGTCACTTCTGAACAAAGTGGGTCTTCTTTGTTAAGAGGCTGTAGAAGCGCCAGTTGTGATCACTCACTCAAGTCACTCCTCACTGGTTACGCCCACGCACACAGGTGAACGGTGCTGATGTCGACACCCTCTGTTTGGTTTTCCTCTTTTTTTTTTTCCTAAATGCACGTGGCACAAAGACATGCTAGTTTTTTTTAAAAAATAGTTTATTTATTTATTTTGAGGGAAAGAGCGAGCGGGGGGAGGGACACAGAGAGAGAATCCCAAGCAGGCTCTGCGCTGTCAGAGCAGAGCACGACGCGGGGCTTGATCTCATGAACCATGAGATCCGTGACCTGAGCTGAGATCAAGAGTCAGATGCTCAACAGCCTGAGCCACCCGGGTCCCCATGGTTTTCCTCTTCTTAGTCCGCCTTTTCCCAGTCTAGCCACTAGGAGTGTTCCTCTGCAAAGGTGTCCCTTGCTACAAAAAAGAGCCACAGGCGGAAGTGGAGAAGCTGTCGCCGCAAAGTGATGAGCGGCCAGGGCAGGGCTCACAGGTGAGGACACTTATTACCAGTGCCGCTTGGTCTCCCTCAGGACAGCAGGTGAGGGGGAATCCGGGGACCAGCGCCTCTCCTGCGGGCTGGCTCCTTGGGGAGAATGAGGGCATGACATCACTGGCAGGCATAGTGGGGTTCCCGGGGGGCGGGCACAGCAAGAGAGCTCTGGGACCCCTGGGGCAGCACTCAGGAAATGATGAGGAAACTAAATGAAAAAGAGCACTGGGTGTCATGGACAAGCTCATGAGACGAGCTGGGCTCCAGTCTCCATGTGCTCCATGTGGGGGAGACTGAAAGGGTGAGAGCGGAATATCTGGTCAGGTCACAAATGTTTTACTTTTAATCAGTATATGGTGCTTTGCAGTCCTCATTTGCTGGGTCATTCTTTCCTTTGTAACAGGGGTCAAATGTGGGTGCAAATTGAGGAGTCTGATATGGGGGCAAAGTGGGGAGCAGGGTTGGGGTGGGGGGAAGGAAGCAGACTCCATCCACCGTGTTCATCAGATCATAGGAATCTTCTCTCGGGCACACGAGATTGCAAGATGACATTTCTTTTTTTTTTCTTTTTTACTTTTGTTAATGTTTATTTATTTTTGAGAGGGAGAGAGACAGAGTGTGAACAGGGGAATGGCAGAGAGAGGGAGACACAGAATCCGAAGCAGGCTCCAGGCTCTAAGCTGTCAGCACAGAGCCCAACGTGGGGCTTGAACTCACGAACTGTGAGATCATGGCCTGAGCCGAAGCCAGACCCTTACCCGACGGAGCCACCCAGGCGCCCCGTGCAAGATGGCATTTCTTGCTATTTGTTTAGCATCAAGCGATAGTGGAATGTGGGCAGACATTGTGTATAACACTTTGATCTCCGGCCCTGTGAATCTCCATGCTCATGTCCCTTTCTGGAGAGACCTTGGAGATTATGTTAAAGATGGTATCATAAAAAGTTGAAAGGAGCTGGGACCCCTAAATAACCACCACCACCTCGTTGAACTGTGCCATGGGTTAGCAATCATGTTTTATTATTTCAGAGATTTTTGTTTACAGCAGCTCGCCTACCCCAACTAATGCATTACCTATAGCCACCTCATTTCCCATCCTTTTCAGCATCTCAGGACTCTCCCTCTTCCGTCAGCTCCCCCCAGAATCACAAACCCCAGACCTTGCCTTTGTAAAGTGAAAACCAGTTGATTTGTGGTTAGGTCCTCCAAAGGAGGATGGGCATGCCTGACCCCACCGATCCCCACCAATCTTGACCCGAGTCTGATTTTTTTTTATGTTTTATTTATTTCTGAGAGAGAGAAAGAGAGAGAGACAGCATGAGCAGGGGAGGGTCAGAGAGAGAGGGGGACACAGAATCTGAAACAGGCTCCAGGCTCTGAGCTGGCAGTCAGCACAGAGTCTGACGCGGGGCTCGAACCCACAAACTGTGAGATCATGACCTGAGCCAAAGTCAGATGCTTAACCGAATGAGCCACCCAGGAGCCCCAACCCCAGTCTGATCTTAAAGAGTATCCCAGTGGCATCTCACAAGGAGGAAGAGAAAAGGCGGGTGGGCCTGGCGCAGACCTCGTTTGTGACTTCTCCTCGTAGGGAACCTGTTTTCAGTGCACAGCAGCCTTAGAGCTCGTGAGAGTTGAAAGGTAGGTTGAGGCAGCTTTACCACCAGGTCAGGGCCGGGCCCCATCTTTAGAACTTGTTGCAGAAAGGTGAGTCATCACAACATTTCTCCTCCAAAGTCACAGTTGGATTAAAGAGCATCAAAGGGAAACACACACTGCTACAGCCTTGGTATCCGTATGAAAGGGTGTCATCTACAGAGGGGCGGAGAAGAGGGCAAGTGAGACCCTGAAGCTGAGACTCCAGACCCCTGGTTATGGGGGCCAGCATGCCCTGGTGAGCGGTGCTCGATAAATACTGCTGAATGAACCAGTGGATCTTTGCATCAACAAATAAATCAAGCAATGAAGAGAAAATGGAAACTTTCATCAAAGATGCCTGCTCTCTGCCTCCTGGGATTAGATATTTGAGATAGAGCTGCTTAGTGTGCTTCATAGGATAGTTCTGGGGGCTTTGTGTCCTAGGGTTCAATCATTCCCCACACAGGAGAGAGCAGGAAGGGGTGAATAGAAAGTGCCCTAATACCCTCCCCACTCCTCTCCCCTCACGTCTGCTTCCAGTTGCATAAAACTCTACTGCACTCAGGTCAGGGTCAGCGGGATTGTAGCAGCCCTTCCTGTCACCTCAGGAGCTAACAGAGATCCCGTCTTCTTCTCTTACAGATACAGGGCCAATTAGGCCAATCTGGTACACAGGCAGCTGAGTACCAGAACCAGGTGATGCAGCTTCACAAGCTTAGTGACAAAAGAAAATCAACCCCTGCCTATACTGCTGCTACTCACAGGGTTCCTAAGGTCCCAGTTCCCTGAGTCCTAGAGTCACTTGCCTTGTCCTGGGGACCTCAGCTCCATTGGTCCCATGGGGGTTCATAACACTCCTAACCCTGAACCGCCGCTCCTAGCACCTGACTTCAGGCAAGGGTCACCCAGGGGACTTCTCCGCACCCGCCTACCTTCATAGACCTTCCTCAGGAAGCACCACTGGTTGTCACGAGCCTCGCAGACACTGTCCCCAGTCTCACACACGCCACTGGCATTGACTCGAGGACACTGGAAACATGGTAGAGCTGGAAAGTCAAAACCAGTAGAATGAGCTTTGGTCACCCCTGCCTGTTGGCAGATCAGCAGGGAGCACCCCCTCTGAGCCACTTGCAGCCTGGATGGTGGCCGGGTCCCGGGCCTGAGGAGGTGGCTGACAGCAGGGGATTTCTGGGTGCTTGGCGAACACCTGGGAGGAGGCACACGTGAGTACAGACAGGATCCCTCTCGACTCCAGGGATGGACGAGGGTCTGGGAGGATCAGGGGGAGGGAAGGAGGCAAGTCAGCGAGGGCTGAGGAGAGGAGAGGAGAGGGAGGAGGAGGGGGAGCTGCGGGTGTCACCTGCGGATGTCTGGCCCGCAGCCCAGCTCTTCACTCGTCTCCAGCCTGAACATGGGCAGCAGCTCGCCCCGCCTTCACTCTGCACACCTGAGCACCTGCTGTTTGCTCCTGTTACTCTTAGTTACTCTTAGTTCCCTCCAATAACCGTTGACAACCCTGCCCCCACCCCTAGATACATGTTAGCAATCGCCTTGCAAACACATGGCCCCACGGCTACCCATTGGAAGGGGATGCTGACTAATGTTTTCTGAGACAACAGGAAAAGCAGCCTTAGCTTCATGACAGCTAGCCCTCCAAGGTCCTGGACACCTTGCCTTTACCACGTACAAATTCTTTGGGGTCTAAGCCACCCTTCACTCCTTAACTAAAAAGTACATAATCCCACAATCCCAGTGCGGCTCTCTCTGCCCATGGGGCCTGTCACTGTGCTATAACAAAAACACTTTTTCGCGTGTACACACACAAAACCCAAAAAAGCAAATAGATGAGGTCTTAGTGGATTTCCAACAGGGAGTACAGAAAAATTCTTTTAATGCTGATGCATAAGTGCAACACTATGTGCAACTGCTAATATTTCCGATATTTTAGGGTTACTAAAATACATGATTAAAATGACTCTACATGTTTCATATTTGTCTACTCAGATTCAAAATTACATATGTAGCTGGCCTTATATTTTTATTGGACAGGACAGGTTCAAGCCCCCATAAGAACTGGGATTTTAATCTACAGAGGAGGCTATCAGAGGGTTAAAAGTGGGGAGAGACTTGAACGGTTCCCGGTTCCTGTGTTTTGGACAGGCTCTGACAGCCTGGCCACACTGCACTTTAAGCAGCAAAGCATGAAAAGGCCCCAGGCGGGTGAGATGGGCGAGAAGGGAAGTGGGAAGGAAGCCAGCAGTCAGCAGAGGGGCTGCCCTTGGCCTTGGCCTGGCCCTGCCTCGTGGCCTCCGCTGTCCCTTGCGCGTGCTGAGGGCCGCCGTGGCACAGGCCTGCCTCTCACTGGGGCCTGGGGCGCACACTCGCCCTGCACACGGGCTGCATGGGTCCTGCAGAAACACAGCCCCAGAGCATCTCCTTCCCACGAGCGGGCAGTCAGTCAGTGGATAAACACTCCAGCTCTCTCCCCCTTGCCCTGGGACAGCTGGTGGCCTGCTTTCCATTGTCCTCCATGTGCCCACCTCGCATCCAGATGCATCTTCTATCAGCTTGTTCCCCTCCGTGTCTCACTTACCCCCTCCCCTGCTGGCATTTCCTGGCATCACTTTCGGGACCAATGATTTGTACTCATTTCTGTCCCTTAGAGTCAGCTTCTGGGGTAACACAAGTCAGGATGATGAATTTTCTTTTACATCAAATGCGTGTTTTTGGAATTTAACCAACATTTTTTTTTTTTGACAGTGAGAGGGTGAGAGCATGAGTGGGGGAGGGAAGGGGGAGAGAGAATTGTGAGCAGGCTCCAGGCACAGCACAGAGCCCGATGCAGGGCTGGATCTCCTGACCCTGAGAATGTGTCCTGAGCTTAAATCAAGAGTTGGATTCTTAACTAAATATGCCATCCAGGCACCTCAACTTGGCATATATTTTATTCTGAGTCTTCCGGTGCACATGCCAAAAAGAAACGTATACTATTAAAAGGCTGATACCACTTGCAGACGGTGAACATTGTAAACAAATGCTGCCAGTGATCATTCCATTTTTCAGTCAATCCATGGGGTCAAATAAAAGCTGCGGACATGTATTCCATAGAAGGTAAAACATCTAACTTCTTTGTGAATGCCATTGGAAATTCAGTGTTAATGTTCACATTGAACATTAAATCATTTATTTTGCGGTGATAGTATGACCCCAAAACAAATTAACTGTATTTTCATTGTGTTTGAACCATTGTCATAGTGTGTGTATATGTACGTCTATGTATATGTATGTCAAGTATAAATGATTTTTAATATATAAGTATGTGTGCACACACGGGTAGATTAACAGAATTAATAAAGTTTGCTTTGAATGTGATATGAAACCCACATTGTTTTCAGCAAGCTCAGCCTCTGCTGCCTATCAGCAAGCAGTTGAGGAAAATGATTAAACCTCTGAATAACTAATTTGTGATTCAATCTAAGCAACTCACAGTGGTATTGAACCCTAAATTTTGTTCCCACATATAACATGTCTGGAGCTATTTTTGATGTTGACAGCAGACAGCTCTCCAGTTTCATGCCTTCTGCCCCACACCTGGGCCCTGGGGCTTCTGCATTGGCACGGGTGGGAGGTTCCAACCATACAGACCTCGCTGCTTCCGGGAGCCCTCCCCTGCCCTCTCCCAAGCACCATGTAGATCCCTAGCCAGTCTCCCTTCCTTGCTCATGAAATGCCAGCGGGACTCAGGCCCTGCTCTCCCCAGAAAGCCTCAGTAGGCAAGTGGAAACCCTTGTCATTCCTTCTGGGTGCAATGTGTCCTGACATCTGAACTACATTTGGGGTGAGGGACCATCCATTCCACAAGATAACCCAACAATCGAAATCTTAAAGTTTTCAACGAAGGGAGTACCAGCACATCTCAGCCTGAAAAGTGTTTAACTCAATGAAGTTATGAAGAACAAAGGTACAAGCAGAAAGACAGAGACATGGATCCCTACAAAAGCCAGCTGTCCCATTTCAATAACTCACACGGTAACCTTACCTGTTGGATCTAGTCATGACCATGCAGGCCGGGAGAGAGTCAGAGAGAGTGTTCACACCTGGAGCTTGAAATCTGCTACTCACCCAATCCTCGTCGTCCTCACTGCCCTCCCATGTGCTCCCCAGGGGCTCACCTTGGAGGAAGCCCGGCTGTGAGGACAGGACCAGCAGCAGCAACAGCAGGCACTGACCCATCTCTCTGTTTGCTCCCAGCCCCGATGACCGGCAGAATGAGGCAGGACCGCAGGCATCCAGAGCCTCCGAGGACGCGGGCTTTATACACGCAGGCTGGGGGAGCAGCCAATGACAGCCTGGCAAAGCTGCCCTTCCCAGGGACACAGAGTGGACACAGTGCCTGAGAAGCCCGGGCCCTGCCTGCCCCCCAGCGATGCTGGTCCTGCTCCCTCCATGGGCCCAGGTCAGGGAGCCAAGGTGGATAAGAAGACATCGCTCATTTCTATCTCAAATCCCAATCTCAATGGAATAATACAGCCCGATTACATAACTTAAGAATTTGAGGAATTCGAGTGACTTAGGGAGTATGTCCCCTTCTAAAGAAGTTTGCCATATTTAAGGGAAGTGTTAAAGTACGGTATGAATCAAGATACTTACCCTTTTAAAGATACTTTCCTATTCATTCAATAAACACAGAGAAATAAACACTTGCTTAGACTTTTGTAAAGTGCAGGCCAGAACACAACAGAACACAATAGATTTTGATGGTAGCATTGACTCAGTTCTTGGAAATGAAACACATCTGCATTGTTTTGTCCTGTTTGGGCAAAGTGGAGCAGAGGAAAGTATTTCTCCCCAAGTCTTTTAAGTATTATGCTATAGTAACCCGTAGTTGGTTTTTCTTTTTTTTGTTGTTTTTTTTCTTTAAATCTCACCTTCTTTTTCTGTTTGTTTTATATGTTTATTTTTGAGAGAGAGAGAGAGAGAGAGTTCATGATCAAGGAGGAACAGAGAAAGAGGGGAATTGAGGATCCAAAGCAGGCTCTGAGCTGATAGCAGAGACCCCAAAATGGGGCTCCAACTCATGAATCATGAGATCATGACTGTAATTGAAGTTGGAAACTCAACCAGCTGAGCCACCCAAGCACCCCCACTATTTTTTTTATACTATATCCATTTATTTAGGTCTTCTTTCATCCCTTCAATTTTATAAATTTTCTGGGGGTTTTTTCTCTCAGAGTATATTTTCAAGTTGGTTTCCATATAATGCCCAGTGGCCATCCCCTTGTCCATGCCACTATTTCTTTTCTATTAACCTTTTCTTATCTCTTCGGGATGCTGGATTACAGTGAGGGTGGGTTTCCTTTCCAGATGGTGGCATGAGGAGAACTGCACACCCACCCGACTCACCCAGTGAAACACTCATAACTGGTGAAAATACTTTTTAAACTATTGTTTCAAATCTCTGGAAATAGCCCTGGGGCCATCCAGCAAATTCAAACTGGGAGCTCTCTGTCCGCCCCAGGACCTTCTGGAAAATCCATAGGCATTAACCAGTAGTCAGAGGAGTCTCCGTTTGCTTGCAGAGAGCCTAACAGAGGGAAGGGTCCTGCTAGACCACCCTCCCGGGGAACTGGGGGGAGGCACACGGCTGTCCCTATGAGGGAAAAGGCAGACGTTTCCACGGCAGGAAAATCAACCTCACTAAAATCGTCCAGGCAAGTCACTGAGGAGAGTCAAGAAGACAACGACCAAAAGCCCTGGGGTGGGAGGTGGGGGGGTGAAAGAGCAGGAATCTGTTCCCAGAGTTGCTGCAGTAATTTACCTCAAGTATCCAGTTGCATCCAGAATCGTTGAGGCATCAAAGCAACAGGAACGTGTGACCCACACTCAGACAGGAAATGGTCATAGAATCTGTCTATGATGGCGGGGGTGCAGGGGGGAGGGAGTGTGGGTCAAAGGGTTCAAACACTCAGTTCCAAGAGGACTGAGTTCTGAGGATCTGGTGTAGGCGTAGGCGTGGTGACCATGGGAACGCTGTGCTGTGTACTTGACATCAGCTGAGGGTAAATCTAACATGTCCTCACCACACACACACAAATGGTAACTGTGTGGAGTGATTGGTTAGCCTGATGTTCAATCCTCTCACAGTGTATGACGTGTATATGAAATCATTACATTGTACCCCTTAAATATACATCATTTTTATCGTCAGTTATCCCTCAATAAAGCTGGAGGAAGAGGAGCTTCTTCTGACATAGTGTGCTGTCACATTTAACCAAGATGGTGGAGCAGCCATTGTGCCCATGTTCAAGAACTAAAGGATGGGGAACCTGGGAGGCTCAGTCAGTTGCGCATCCAACTTCAGCTCAGGTCATGATCTCGTGGTTCCTGGATTCGAGCCACGCATCAGGCTCTGTGCTGACATCTCAGAGCCTGGAGCCTGCTTCCAATTCTGGGTCTCCCTCTCTCTTTCTGTCCCTCCCCACTCTTTCTCTGTCTCTCTCTCTCTCAAAAATGAATGTTAAAAATTAAAAAAAAAAAGAACTAAAGGAAACCAACACCTCATCGAATAGCAAACCAACAAGGAAATAGAAATTATGAAAAAGAACCATGGAAATTCTGGAGTTTACAAGTCAGCTTATATGAAAAACATCTCAATAGGGGTTGCAGGTACATTAACTGGTTGAGGAAACGAGCAGAAATTTTCAAAAGGTCGATAGAGGAGCACCTGAGTGACTGAGTCCGTTAAGCGTCAGACTTTGGTTCAGGTCATGATCTCACAAATCAGGGGTTCAAGCCCTGCATTGGACTCTGTACTGACAGCTCACAAATCAGGGGTTCAAGCCCTGCATTGGACTCTGTACTGACAGCTCGGAGCCTGGGGCCTGCTTCAGATTCTGTGACTCCTTCTCTCTCTGCCCCTCTCCTGCTTGTGCTCTGTCTCTCTCTCTCTGTCTCTCTCTCTCAAAATAAATAAACATTAACAAAATATTCCCTAGAAAAGTCAATGGAGACCATGAATCTGAAAAAACGAAAGAAAAGAAGGAAACAAAACGAACAGAGCCTCGGAGGCTGTGGGGCACCACCAAGCCCGCACACAGATGCCTAACGGGGGTCAGGAGAGGAGAGAGAGGGTGGGGCGGCGGTGGGGCGCGGTGGGGAAGAGATCCACTGTAACAGTGGCTGAAAATGCTGCATGCTGGGTGGAAAACATTGATCTCTGCATCAGTGATGGTTGGTTTTACGTGTCAACGTGGGTAGGCTACAGTTTGTGGTGACTGGGGCCAACATTAGCCCAGGTGCTGCTGTGAAGATATTTTGTAGATGTGGGCAATCGGTTGACATTAAGGAAAAGACATCCCCCTCACTAATGCAAGTGCATTTCACCCGGTCAGTGGCAGGTCTGAAGAGGAAAAGCAGTTTCTTAAGAAGTTCTGTCTTAAGACTGTCATGAATCCTGCTTCAGAGTCTGGGTTAGAGGCGGCCTGGCCTGTCTGTGCATTTGACTTGTCAATTCCCATGATTATGTGTGTCCATTTCTGAAAACAAATCTTTATATATATGTATGTGTATAAAGATTCAGATAATGTGTGTATGCATATTTGTGTACACACATATACGCCTCCTAGTACAAACACACACGTGTGTGTGTGTCTATGGCTATCTGTAGTGTATATGGTATGTACTGTATACAAGCCAGTATATTGTAT